TCCATGCTAAATGAAATAAGCCAATTATCAAAAACCAAAGCTGAAGGTTTTCTTTGATATGTGGATGCTTATTCACAATAAGGGGGAATGCTAGGAAAGAACAGTTACTTTACATTAGGGGAGTGAAGGGAGTATGGGGTAGGAAAGATAGTAGAATGAATCAGACAGACATTATTACCCTATGTACCTATATTACTTCATGACTAGTGGGATTCTACATCATGTATAACTAGAAGAATGAGAAATTATACTCCAATTATGTATGATGAATCATAGTGCATTCTACTCTCATGTAAAACTAATTAGAACAAAGTAAAAAATTAAAAAAAAAATAAACAGGAGCATGAAAAGTAGATTGCTCTAAAGAATAGTCCATCAAATAATGGTTAACTTGCCTGCAGGAGAATTGTTCTTCTACTTAATTTAAAAGGAAATTATTGTATCCATTCATCAACTTGGACTTGGGCTTTTAGGAGACATATGTTATAAGACTTATAGAGCCCAGAACTGGTTGGCTTCAAGTGTCTCTATTTAGCCGAGTGGTGGGTACACTGTGAAATAAGTTCTGGGAGAATATCTATTACTTAGTGGCCAAATTTTCTGCCATGTGATTTGCTAGACACCTCCTAAAAGAAAGCCCCTGCTTGAACTTGCAGGGAGGGCAGGCAAACCATTGTGGTTTACAAAAACAGCCCCAGTGCTTGCCTAGCAGGCATGAGGCCCTGGATTCGATCCCTGGCACCACATAAAAATAAAAACAAATGAAATAAAGGTACTAGCTCATCTACAACTTAAAATATATATATATATATATATATATATATATATATATATATATATATATATATATGGCTGTAACTCTACTACATTTGCCACCTGGCCCGTTCTCAGATTTTCTTCACTTCTCTGACTCAGGTTAGCAGTTCAGCCTCTGAGAACTTCTACAATGCCATGCATTTCCTGCTACTCTGCCACTTCTTATGGTATACAATCACTTGTCTTTGTGCTACTAGAGCAAAGATTTCTGAGAGCCTTGAGGTGTTCTTCACCTGGACCAAAGGTTGGTTAGGCACATGAACCAGCCTTTTGGAATTTCCCCTCAAATATTTCACAGGAGTCCATTGTAGGCAGTGAAGGTGGAGGTCATATAACCACTGAACCATTTGCCATGCCACTTCTCCTGAATGGCAGTCTCTAAGGGAATTGATGTGTTTTCAGCTTTATCCTCATGACCAAGCAGCCAGTGGAGAATAACTGTTCAATGAATTGTGAGCTGGTTTTAGGTACCCTTGCCTCCCAGCCTGAGTTCTGGAGAGATTACACATATTAGCTCCTAGCCAGGCCCTTCCAGACATGTCTACAGCTCAAATTATATGTTTGCTCAAGCAAAAACACCAGAGAAGAACCTTACTCCTGTTTAGGTGAAAATGTTTTTCCCTTTCAGGAAGAAGAGGAGAGCCCTTGGCATTGCACAGGTTGAAGAATCTAGAGGCAATATGGGATTTGATACTCTTCTGTATTTTCTAAACAGTACTGCCCCCTGAGATTAAAAACAAAAAGAAAGAAAAAAGCAATTGACACTAAAAATTGATCATCCCTAAAGCCTTAGATTACTGGCACTTAAAGACAAGCCACAGGCTGATAATTATTAACCTCATCTACCTAGAGGGAGTTATTTGAGAAACAGACTCCCGGAGAGTACAGGACTAAGGAAATTACCTATAGTTTAGCTATTGTGTCTCAGGGTTCCAGAAGAAATATCTGACTGAGCCAATGACATAACAATGCCTTTGGTTAGATTACAAACCATACATGATTTAGGATAGGTTCACTATGCTACTCCCTGGACAAAGGGAAAAACCTAGTTTGTTCGACGATCTCATCTCTTCTCTCATGAATTTTTTTTGAAATATAAAGTTTTAAAAAATCAAGTATATATATTTTGAAGATATATATATATATAAACTGCACAAGTCAAAAAGTATCAATCTATGAATTTTTACAGAGTGAACCCACCGACATAATGACACAGAACCAAAGGCTCAGAAGCCCCCTTCTGCCTCAGGAACAGCCACAATCCTGACTTCTAGTTCCAAAGACTAATTTGTCTTTTTTTTTTTTGGTACCAGAGATTGAGTCCAGAGGAACTTAACCACCGAGCCACACCCCAGCCCATTTTTATACGTTAGTTAGAGACAGAGTCTTGCTGAGTTATTTAGGGTCTCGATAAGTTGCTGAGGCTGACTTTGAACTCATGATCAGCCTCCATAGCTGCTGGGATTACAGGGTGTGTCACCGCTCCCAGCTTAGTTTTGTCTATTTTTGAACTCTTAGTAGATGGGATCACACAGAATGTTTCTTTTTAAATCTCTAGCTTCTTTATTTTAACATTAGGTTTGTGAGATTCATTGATGTTGAGGTAGGTAACATCATATCATTCAATCTCATGGATTATTGTGGGGTGTATATATTACTTTTGATGACCATTTGGGATTGTTTTGTTTGGGGATATTATAAACAGTGCTGTCGCGAACATTTATGTCAACGTTTTTGGTGAACAAATGCCCCTTTAGGATTGGAATCGTTAGATAAGAGAATATGTATATGTTCACCTTTAGCAGGTACTCCAGTTTTCCAAAATGGTTGTACCAATTTATACTCTCACCAATAGTGTAAGAATTCAAGTTGTTTTATATTTCACCAGTATTTGGTATTATCTTCTTTATTTGAGCCATTTTGAAAACCTACCTTACTATAGTTTTGATTTGCATTTTCATGAGGACTTCTGAAGTTAAACACCTCTTTGTGTGTTTGTTGGTTTTTTGAATATCCTTTGTTTTTTTTTCTTGTAGTGCTGGGGATGGAACCCAGGGTCTTATGCATGCTAAGGCCTCTAATGCTGGGCTGTACCCCCAGCCTTTATATACTCTTTTGTGAAATTCCTGTTAAAATCTTCTGCTTATTTTTGTATTGAGATTTCTTAAAAATTGATTATATTTTATTAGCTTATATGACTACTTTATATTTTTCTGGGTAAGGGTCCTTTGCTGGAGAGAGTATGTTCGTATGCATATACATATATATGTATATGTATGTGGACTTCTATTTTGTGCTTGTCTTTTTGCTCTTTTTTTTTTTTTAGAAAGAGAGAGACATTTTTAATATTTATTTTTTAGTTTTTGGCAGACATAACATCTTTGTATGTGGTGCTGAGGATCGAACCCGGGCCGCACGCATGCCAGGCGAGTGCCCTACCGCTTGAGCCACATCCCCAGCCCTCTTTTTGCTCTCTTAATAACATCTTTTGATAATTGGAAGTTCTTAATTTTAAGGCAATACTGTTTATGGATTTTTTTTTTCTCCTAGGGCTCAGCTTTTTGTGAGCAGGCATCTTGAGTTGGCTCAACTTTTTACCTGTCTGGGAGAAATCCTTATTTGGACCCTGCCAAACTATCATCAGTAGTTTTTTATGGCCCAGAACTTGTCACTGCAGTGTCTTCTTGCTTTATTGGCTTGAATTTATCTTATCTGATCCTTCTTTGCTGGTGACATTTGACTTTGTTCTGCTTCAGTCAGCAGACTATCCCTCTTCTGTCCTTAGGCTGGATTTCTTTGTCTCGGGCTATGATCTAACTGACCAAACTTTCCAACCACCCATTCCAAGTAGCCAGTCTCCATCTCCTTCATGTCTAATTTTATCCTCAGCTTCTCTCTGGATATGGTTTTGCAGCACCTGTTGGCCTAGTTGTCCTAACCTCAGTCTAGCAGGGAACATCCCCTTATTTAGAAGACACCCTGCCTAACCCTTTCTTTACTTTGGCATCTCCAAGTTAGGTGAATTTAGAGGATGAGAGGCCCTGTCAAAGATTTTTCTGCACTGAGGTAGTTTTATTTCAACATAAGTGACTGCCAGCTGAGAGAATATGAAAACATCCTCCTGATGATGCATATTCTGATATTTGGATACTTGATGAATCTCTTGAGGTCAGATTCCTTTTGTTTGCTCAAATATCAGGTGTACCTTGTGTTCTCATGACTGGTGTGTTGGTGTAATCAAGCCTCCTCCACAAATCACTGACATTTTATGGGTTCTCAGGCATATACATGTGCATTTTTTTTCAAACCTCATCCACCAACCCTGTTTTCTAATCTCTGTTCTTTTCATCTTCTGGTGTAACAAGATGAAAATGACATTTCAAAATTCCAGTTAGAACTTCTAAGATAAAAGATGTTACTTCCACATTCTAAAAAGAGAGAGTCGACTGTCTATGTGGGACTCAATAAAAGATAACTGGTCTAGAGAACTTTACTTTCAACAAATAGCCCAAGTGGTCAAAAAATTGAAAGGGAATTTATGGAATGAATTCAGAGAGCAGAGTTGTTTGCTTTTCTATTTTTCTCTCTATGAGGAAATATGTGCTTCCCTCCCCCCAGCCAATTCAGACTACGTAAAACAGATGGAGGATTATTTTCTCTCATAACAGAATGTCTGAGAGACATAACTGATAAATTTAGTTATCTGCTATTTTCTCCCATAGTCATAAGATGGCTGTCCCTGTTCAGGGCTGGAAAAGGACCAATGTCAAGGGCACGGGTCTCTTTTTATTAGGGATGTCACTTTTTTTTTTTTCATTGATCTATTTTTCTGTTCTTTCACCATTACCATTCTGTCTTTCCAGCTTTATAATTCACCTTGAGGTCGACTAGTGTTAAGCCTCCCGTTCTCCACTTTGTTTTAGGAAGCATAACAGCAGAACTATAGATGTGCATTAGTCATCTTATGGTGTCAGCCATGAGTGTAGATGTCAAGAAACCTTGCTTTGTGGAGGTCCAGGGCATCGATGAGTCAGCAGCAGGGGGCTTGCCATAAAGGATATCAATAGCCCAAACAATAAAACAAAAAACCCAAACTCAAAAACTATAACCAATACTTGCCAGCTAGAAAATCTTTGTTCCTTTTCTCTTACTCTCCTTGACCTTTGTTCCTTTTCTCACCACAGGGAACATGGAAGATGGAAGGGGCAAAAGATGAAGAAAGATTGGAAAACTTCATCTACTTTTCCCCCCACTGAAAGTTTCTGTGACTAAGCACTTTGTAGCTACTTGGGAGGATGAGGCAGGAAGATTGCAATGTGGAGGCCAGCCTGGGCAAGTCAGTGAGGCCCTAATTCAAAAACAAACAAACAACAACAACAAAAAACAACAAAACAAAACAACAACATCAACAACAACAACAAACAAAGGAGAAGAGCTGGGGATGTAGTTCAATGGTAGAACACTTGTCCAGTAGCACAAACCAAAGCAAACTAAAATAAAACAAAACAAAAAAGAAAGTCTTTAAAGAGATATACAAGTAGCTGGTAGGAAGGGAGAAGTTCCAAATCAGATGGAAGATTGACATTTTAACTATGTTGAATGTTTTTTTTTTTTCTCCTTTTAAAATATCTTAAGTGATAACAAAGCAATGAGATCTGCTGATAATGTTAAAAGGACAGGATGACCTTATCAATTATTACCAAGTTGTCTTCCTAGCTCTCATCTGCTGGAAGGACTTTTCCTTGCTATAGGGAAGCTGGATGTGTCAGGAAATTTTAGAAGTATTTCTAAAATTTTACAAGGAAAATTTTAGAAGTATTTAGGTTTGTTGAAAAGGAGAAAATTCAGTAGGTGTACTTAGGCTAGACTGATTGTAACATAATAAATAAATTATAGTCTGTTGTTGACTGTGTTTATGACTTCTCTCTGGCCATTAAAATTGGTTAAATAAAATAATTATACTGCACACCTCTTGGGATGTCTTCGTGGCTTCTTGCTTTCTCAGGAAATTGTGCTGATACTTAGGGATGTTTCAGATACAAATCATGTGGTCCAGCCTCCCATCAGAGCTGATTAACCAGAAGAGGACATCTGTCCCATTCAAGGGCAGGCAGGGTCTCTTCTGTTAGTACTGAACAAGAGGCTGAGGGATGTTGACATTGAGTATCATCAGTGACCATGCCCACCTGCTGCTGCTGGCCCCAGAAATTCTCTGTTTCTTCCTCTTCTTGGTAGTTATTGCTCACCTCTTCTCTGCTTTCATGAAATTCCCTGGTAGCCTTTCAGTATATCCTTCACTTGGCTTAAGTGTCTCAGAATGGTTTTCTATTACTTGTAATCCAAGGTACATTTTTTAAGTGTCCATTGAACTTTCAAAATTCTGATGTTCTGTGACTTAATGAAGTCATTAACCTGCAGTGTCATTAACCACAGAAAGTAGGCAGGTATGGCACTGGTAAGTGACTGCAGTGTTGACAGTCCTTGCAATGATGAAACAGGCTTTTAATTAGGCAAACTTGCACTTGTTGCATATGGGGAACATTTTTGTTTTGTTTTGGTACCAGGGATTGAACTCAGGGACACTTGACCACTAAACCACATCCCCAGTCTTATTTTACATTTTTATTCAGAGATGGTTTCGCTGAGTTGCTTATTGCATTGCTTTTGCTGAGTCTGGCTTTGAACTTGTGATCCTCCTGCCTCAGCCTCCAGAGCTGCTGGGATTACAGGTGTGCGCCACTGCATCTGATATTTTATTTTTTAATTTTAAAATTTTTTATATTTTTGGCACCAGGGATTAAACCCCAGGGCTGTTTACTACTGAGCCACATTCCTGACTCTTTTTATTTTTTATTTTGAGACAGGGTCTTGCCAAATTGCTTTAGAGCTTTGCTAAATTGCTGAGGCTGGTTTCCAATTTAGGATCTTCCTATCTCAGCCTCCTGAGCCTCTGGTATTAGAAGTGTGCTCCACGGTGCCCAGATTGTTTAATTGTTTTTATTAGAGGAGTAAATGATTTTTATAGAAAAAGATTTTAGTTCCATTGTAAAAAATAAGTGTAAAAAATAAGTCATATTCCATTGTAAAAAATAAGTCATATTTGCCAAGACACAATGTCAAAGGCACTATAATTAGATACATACTGAATCTAATGAGTTGAATGCATTCTATAATAACCAATATCCAATAAGTGTTGGTTTATCACTTAAACCTCATGAGACAGTATTTCACTGTACTGACTAAATGCAGTGGATATTTTGAGAGGAACTGGTGCTCTCTAGTTAATTATCCTTGACAATCCTGAATATTATAAAGTTTGAACTCAAAGTACACATATTTTCCTTATATACCATACAATATAATTGGATACAGTTTAGGGATCCTACATACAGTGTAGTTATCAAGTGCCTATCAAAATATCTTTAGAATAAAAATGCCCAACCAGAATACCAAAGTTTAGAAGTGCAATTGACTTTTTAATATGACACTTATTAATCATGGATTCTTCATGTCTTTTAAAAAGTTATTGTTGTAGATTTCCTAAAATGAAAGGCATGCCACTCAGTGGATGGGAAGCAGTATTGCAGGAAAGAAATTCGCAAGATTACATTTATGATACTGAAGTTAGGATTTTGTCATTTGAGCCAGGGAGATGGATGAGCAAACTAAAGAAGGGATATGAGAGTTGCTCTAGAATTAACCTGATGATTAATATTAGTGGCATGACCTCAAAGTTTGTATTAATAGAGTCACACACTGCTGAAGGAAGCATTTATTCATTTATAACGTAGTTCTGAGCCAGGGATGATTTTGTGCCCTTCCCCCTGCCCACTCTGGGGACATTTGGCAATGTCTAGAGATATTTTTGGCTGTCACAACTGGTATGTGTGTGTGTACGTGTGCATGTCCACACTACTGGCATTTAGTGCTACGGATTCTGCTAAATATCCTATAAGGCATAGGATGGCCCCCCACAACAAAGAATCCTTCAGTCCAAAAAGTCAACAGTGAAGCCTCTGAGAAACCTAGCTTATAAAAATTAGTTTTACATGTTTTTGAACTCAAAAGTAGTTCAAATAGATCTTGTCAGAATTCTTTAACAGATATTAATACAATTAGACCAGTTTTGCTTCCTAATGAATAAATTATACTTTATAATTTGGATTCATTTTTATCAGCAGTAAGTATTCAATTTTGTAAACTAATTTCAGAATTCAGGAAAGTTTAAATTTTCACATGTAATTTCCTCACATCTTGCCTTTCCTCCTTATTGATTCAAAGTTCTCCCTCCTTCTATTCCCCATTTTTTTTTTTCTGCTCTGCCCCATTTCATTAGACTAAATGCACTGACCAAAAGCAAATATGATAAGCAAATTTAAAATATGGATAGAATCTGTCTTTTTGTGATATCACTATTCCTTTTCTTTATATCTTTTCTAAAAATAAGCCTTAGGCAGAAGTACCCAAGCTTATTTCTATAGTATTGAAATGATCAAATTACTTGTAGACTCTGATGTGATTAATTCCTTTCTGTTGGAATTGATTTGTTTTAAGGTGACTAAAATGCTTGATTTACTGTCTTAAAAATAATCTTGGCCAGGAGCCCTAGTGCATACTTGTAATCCTAGCTGGAGGCTGAGGAAGGAGAATAGCAAGTCCAAGGCCAGCCTGGGCACTTTAATGAGATACTGTCTCAAAAAAACAAACCAAGCCAAACCAAACCAAAAAAGGGGCTGAGGATGTAAGTCAGTGAAAAACAAAAACAAACAAACAAAAAAACAAAACAACTTTGGTATTTTACACTGCTGCCCTACTGGTTTTAATAACAAATTATACCCCGGAATGATACGGAACAGACACTTGTCTTAGAGATGTAAGGATTATTTTATATAATTCTTTCTTATAAGTTCAAGGATGAAACATATTTTGTGAAATTTAAGACTGTTAAAGTATTTAAAAAATTAGGAAATAATATCCAAGTTCTTCCCCTAAATTCACTATAATTCCAAAGAAGGCAACCTATGAAAAGAATGGAAAGAATTGATTTAAACATAAAGGTATAAATAAATACAGGTGTTTCTTCTTATTATTTAGTCTTACTAGAAAGCATGCTACAGTTTTAAAAAACTTTCTCTTGGGCTGGGGATGTGGCTCAAGCGGTAGCACGTTCGCCTGGCATACGCGGGGGTGCTGGGTTCGATCCTCAGCACCACATAAAAATAAAATAAAGATGTTGTATCCCCAGAAAACTAAAAAATAAATATTAAAAAAATTCTCTCTCTCTCAAAAACAACAAAAAACTTTCTCTATAGGAACTTCCTTAAAAACCACAGATGAAAAGTATTTTAACAAGTCTACTCTTCCATGATAAGTAATAAAATGTAGAAATCTGTTCCAATTTTCCTGTTTTAAACATTGAGTGTTTATGATAGTGCTTCTGACATCTGGGAGAATGCTTGGTTTAGAACAGGCATGCAAAAAAATTGTTAAATAATTTTAAATCAATGGTTAAATATTTAGATAAAAATAAAAAACCAAGGAGAGTTTTTCTTCCAGCACATACTCCCACGCGGCTGTTACCTACCTAGTAGCTGATAGTCTTTGTATTTTCATTTTCCTGGTGCCAGCATGATCTGTTGGCATGTCAAATAAAACGTGCCAAACTCGACTTTTCTTTTTACCCAGATCACTCTTCTTTCCTAGTTTTCTTTGCGATCATAATGTTATTGCTCATTCCTCCTTCCCTTGACAAATGATGCTTCCTTTGCTGACTTTACAGGTGGAGATGACCAGCCCTATTCTGCTCCTAGGGCATCTGGGCTTCTATTCCTGCTGCTCTTGGCTTCCCCTATCTTTTTCTTGGATGGGTGAAGATTCTCGGATTTTCCCTGTCTCTAGTGTTCTCACCAAATTTCTTCCCTTGTTGCTTGACTGTACCTCCATCCTCCGCAAAACAACCCGGGTCTGCAGAATGGTTAAGAATAAAGGATTCTGATTCGGATAGGCCTGAGAGCAATGTAGCGATTAATCTGAGATTTAATTATAGGGCCAAGTCACTTGTTTTAATGCCTGCTGTCCAAGGACTTAACTTCGTTTTCAACCTCACTTCTCACTTCGTTGTCTGACAAAATACCTCCCTCCTTCACCTAACTTCCAGATCTGCCCCAGCTTTTAAAGTACAACTCTTTTGTCACTCAGCCTCTTCTCTGGAATAATCTTTCTCTCACGAACTTTGACTATTTTTTTTGCGTTAAAAACATTTTTTTTTCCCTGTTGGGAAAGAGCAACTTTCATAAGACTAGAATGTTGTTTTATTTTGTATATCTAATAAGTCACAATGTGACTTGCAATGGGATTGCTCAATAAAAGGTGAATGACATCAGTTAACATAAAGAAATGTGACCCTGAGCGTCTCCCCAAGAGGGCCCAGCTTCGCTCATCTGCGCTTTCTCTCGAGCCTGGCACGATCAGGTTCAGCACCAAGAGGACACTGAACCCTTATTAGGAGAATAAGGCAGCCGGCTCGCCGCGTTCCCGCGCCTGAGACTCCCGGAAGCGCCGCCCCGCCCCGCCCCTCGGCGCGCCGCCCCGGGCTCCAGGGCGCACGCGCAGGCGCCAGCCGGCGCGGCGGGCGCGCTGCCGCGGCCGTCCCCTCCCCCACTCCCACTGCGCCGGAGGGGAATCCGTCACCGCGGCTGCTCAGGCCGCCGCGGTCGGTCGTAGCCATGGACTCTTCTTGGGAGGATCTGACGCTGGCCTTCTCCCGCACGTCCATGTTCCCCTTTTTTGACATCGCCCACTATTTGGTGTCCGTGATGGCGCTGAAGCACCGGCCGGGTGAGTGTGGGCGCTGCGGACCCGCCCCCTCAGCTTCCAGTCTCGGGGATGACGGACTCAGTCCAGGGGCAACCGGGGGCCGCTGTCCGGGAAGGATCCGATAGTCTAGTGGGAGGGCGCCCTGAAACTGCCTGGCTGACCCCCCCCCTTTAGTACAGAAGGGAAACTGAGGCCGGGAGGGCGGAGGCCGGGTACTAGACCGTGGAGGCTAGGCGCCGCTTCCGTGGCTTGCGGGGTTGGCGGGGCTCCCGGGCCGGTGCGGAAGCCGCTGCCGCGCGGTCTGTCTCCTGGTGGTACCAGCGCTTCCCTGGACGGTGTTTCAAAGTCACCGGAGAGCTAAGCTCCCAGTCCCCGCACGTCTCCGACCTAGCCTCCGGGAGTAAACAGGTGGTCCTTGCCTGTTGGGAAAGTTGTGCAAACACGTGAGCCGCAGGCCTCCCTTTGGTGGGCACACTGATGTTCCCCTTAACGCGGTGTCCTTCTTGACACCTGCTCAGCACGTTAGGATGACTGTCAGAAGCCAGTGATTCCTGTTTTCATTGTCACCAGTGACTTTTGTACAAGTGAGAGTCGCTGGGCATCTAGTTTCACACGACTCTGTGGAGTGGGGATGTGGTCTTGTGGTTTGAAGACCTTTGGAGCTGTTAACCAAGGAGCAGTATTTCTATTTTCTATCTTACATTCAGGATATTTGCTCCTATATTGCTTTACTTTTGTTGTTATTCCACCTTCCCTTTATATTTTGTGCATCTCTTCTTTCAAGAGGCCAAGCATTTCTGTCCATTTTCCATGTGTTCATACCATCTTTAATCCGCCTTGTTCTACAAATAGTTAATGAGTGAAGATTTGAGGTTGATGCTGTATCTCTCCTAGATATTACTGGTTGTCTCAATTTTTGGAACTTAGAGTATTTTTTTTTTTAAACTTATATTGGAGTTTGTAACTCAGTCTGAATCAATTGTTTGGTAGAGATTTTGACCTGGACAAGGGTAGTATTACTATACTAATTAATGTAGGATAGATAATCTGTATACGATACTGCTTCCTTAGTCTGAAAGGAAGTACATTTTGTTACTGCCCCATACTCAGAATTTGACATTTTCTTGCATTGGGTAAAAGGTTCTCAAAGTATGGTTGAGGAATCCACAGGGTTCTCTGACACTAACTTGTTAAAATTATATTCACAATAATATTCAGGTATTATTCATTTTTTTCACTGTGATTTTTTTACATGTGTATAGAGGAGTTTTCTAAAGACTACATGACTTATAAATTGTGATACTGTAAGAGATTGAAGAGTATAAGAATCCTGCCAGCTGTTTTCTGTTTGAAGCCAGACATTAAGGATTTGCTACAACAGAAAACAGTGTACTTTTTCTCACTAATTGATTTTAGCTTTGGAAAAAAAGTCATTTTTCATAAAGAATCTGTTAACATTTAGTGCATTTATTATTTTTAAAATGAATATAGAACCCCCCCCCCCCCCTCTTTTTTTTTGGTGGTGGTAATAGGGATTGAATCCAGGGCCTTGAAGGTGTTAGGCAGGCGCTCTACCATTGACCTTGTGTCTTTAGCCCATAAAGAACTATTTTGAAATTCTCTCAGTTACAATTTGATACTTGTAACCCCCATGAACAAAAGTTCTTTGGGGTTCTCAAGAAATGTTTGAAGGGCTGGGGTTGTTGCTCAATGGTAAGCTCACCTGGCATGTGTGAGGCACTGGGTTCTATCCTCAGCACCACTTAAAAATAAATAAAGGTATTGTGTCCATCTCCCCCCCCCCCCCACAAAGGTTTTGAAGTCAGTTATTTTTAAAGGTATAATTTATATACAGTATATTTTTTTTTGAGAGAGAATTTTTTTAAAATATTTATTTATTTTTTTTAGTTTTCGGTGGACACAACATCTTTATTTTTATATATGTTGCTGAGGATTGAACCCAGTGCCCCGTGCATGCCAGGGAGGGCGCCCTGAAACTGCCTGGCTGACCAATGAGTTTATACTGCTTGAGCCACAACCCCAGCCCAGTATATTCTTTTTTAATATAAAAATTTAACATTATCATATATAAAATATATTAATTTTAATATAAAGTTCTATGATTTTGAAAATAGTCTTATAACCACCATTACAATCAAGATGTAGAACATTTTGTTCACCTATCCCAGATTTCCTTCTGCTCCTTTGTAGACAGTCCTCCTTCAACTCCTGGCAACTATTCATTAGCTTAAAATTTTTAGTATATAAAGGGGTCAGAGTCCCCCAAAATCTGAGAATTACTTGGATAAATGAATGCTAATATAGTGTTATATAGAGAGTAACAAATATTTTTTTCTAGTACCAGTCCTTGTAAAGAGGTAAAAATGATAGAATTCACATGAGTGTACCTGTTTATACTTTCCCTGGAAATGTGTTAGACTCCTTATTTCCTTTGACATTGTTGACTATTTTCAGTCCTCAGTACCTTGTCATTTTCATGATCAGAAAACAGTTTTCATTTGCATTTGTCAGGGTTACTAATGAGTTTATACTTCTTAGGTTTATTGAACACTTCTATTTCATGGCTGTAAGTTTCTTAATATCTTTTGACCATTTTTTTTCTATTGGGTTGTAGGTTGTTGTCTAATTGTATTAATTTTCTTTATGTATCATGGGTGGCTAATTGAATTTGTTTTCCTCCAAGACCTTTATTAAGCCTCTAGACTGTCCGTAATTTTGCTTATTTTCTTTATTTAGCCTTTCAGTTATTCTGAGTTACTGAAATCCTTCAAGTGAATTCTTTTTGGCTTAAGTTTGTCATAGGTTTTTTTTTTGTTTGTTTGTTTGATTTTTACTTGTAGCCAAGAACCCTGCATTTTATAGCCTCTATATTGAGGAGTATTGATATAAAGTGTTTAATAGTGGTGATTATAGTGAGTGGCTTTGTTCTCATGATTTTAATGAGAATATTTTTAAAGTTTCATCAAATGTGATGTTTTACTGTAGGGTTTTAAGAGGCATAGTTAACAGTTTTATTTTAATCTTAACTTTCTAGGTTGTCCCTATATCTTTATCACCATCCTGGTGGAGAAGGTGACAAATTTTGTTAATGATCCCCCCCCCCCCCCCCCCCCCGAAATCCATTGAGATGATCATTTGTATTGGTTTTTCTATTTAAAAATGTAATGGGCATGGTAGCTTAGGCTTGTAATCCCAGCAATTCTGGTGGCTAAGGCAGGAGGATTATAGGTTAAAGAATAGCTTGGGCAATTTACCAGGACCTGTCTCAAAATTAAAAAGAGCTAGCGATATAGTTCACTAGTAGAGCACCCTGGGGTCAATCACCATTACTAAAAGGGGAAAAAATGTAGTGAAAAGATATTCATAGATATTTAAAAAATGATGAACCATTCCTATATTTTAGGAATAAACTTTACTTGTTTGATGTATTTAGTTTTCAGGAATTTTGATTGCTAATACTTTATTTAAACTTTTTGTATTTGTGTTTATAATGGGAATTTGCCCATCAAATCTTTTTCTACTTTGGGTATCAAGGTTATGCTGTTTTTGTAAAATAGATTGGGAAGCTTTCCACTATTTTATATTTATTATTTATTTTTAGCTCAAGATAGTTTATTTAATAGGCATTCCCTATACTTTTTTTTTTTTTTTTTTTTGGAGAGGGGGTGGTACTGGGGATTGAACCCAGTGATGCTTTATTATTGAGCCATGTTCCCACCCTTTTTTATTTTTTATTTTGAGACAGGGTCTCGATAAGTTGCTTAGGGCCTCATTGAGTTGCTGAGACTGGTTTTGAATTTGCGATCCTCCTCCATCAGCCTCCTGAGCTGCTGGGATTACAGGCATGCATGCACCACCATGCGTAGCTCATTACTTATTCCTAGGTATTTGTTTTAGTCAGCTTTTTCAATGCTGTGACCAAAAAATTTGACAAGAACAATTTTAGAGGAGGAAAGTTTATTTTTGCACTGATTGTTTCAGAGGTCTCAGTCCATAGATGTGTGACTCCATTCCTCAGGGACCAGGTGAGCCTGAATGGGAAGAGTATGGTGGAGGAAACTTTCACTCAGGACATGGCCACTAATAAGCAAATAGAGAGACTCCACTCTCCAAGGACAAAATATATACCCAAAGGCACTCCCAGTGACCCACTGCCTCCAGCCATACCACCCTATACCTGCCTAAAGTGACAGGTAGTTAATACTTATTAGGATTCATCATGGTGTAGGTTAAGACTCATAATCCAATTATTTCACCTCTAAGCTTTTTGTGTTCTTACACATGAGCTTTTGGGGAACAGTGTTTATATAAACCATAAACAGTATTCAATAGACTTAAAATATGAAGCTGTTTCTTGGTCCATTTTAATGAGTGAATCTTTTTTTTTTTTTATAAAAAAATTCAGTCTTAAGTCATTTTTGGCAATTTACATTTCTCTCAGGAATCATTTGTTTCCTTTAAATTTTGAAGTGTATTGGAGTAAATGTGAACATTATTTCTAGAAAATTTCTCTGGATTCGTTAGTAGTTGATTCTTTAAAATTTTTTTTAATGTATATATATTTTTAGCTGTAGTAGGACACAATACCTTTATTTTATTTATTTATTTTTTTATGTGGTGCTGTGGATGGTACCCAGCGCCTTGCATGTGCTAGGTGAGCATTCTACCGCAGAGCCACAACCCCAGTCCCTAGTAGTTGATTCTTAAATGTTATACACTTTAATTTGACTCTTCTGGATCTTTTTTTCTTATGTCCAGTGATAAATTTTTATAGCCTCTGATTTACCTTTTTTTTCTTCTAACTCATTTAGATTAAGATATGTTTGTCCAGATTCTTGTTGGTAGCAGCAAGTAGCTTATATGCTGTCTTTATATGTGGTCAGCTAGACTTTTTCATATTTAGAACTGAAGAGTGGATATGTGGTACTTCCAGTCCAATGCCTAGTTTCTCTTAGTTTTACTTAGTATATATATATATATGCTCTGCTTAACTGGCAACT